AGGGATGATAACTATGCAATCCATTTTAGCAATTACCACTGATATCATAGATCCCATCTCGAACAAAGAGAAAGTGAATAGCAAACCCAAAGACATTGGCGGCGCACCCAGGACGTGGAAGATGCCGGCCCCTCCCCCACAATTACCTAGTTTCCCTCTCCCGCATCTAAAGGTCCCGAGCGTTCGGCTTAACTGATTCAGGAACGGCCGCCGCCGCTCCAGTCTTCCTCAGCCCTGCTCTCGCCCTCCAAATGGCTGTGTCGGAACAAAAGACGACGCCCAAGTCTGCCCACGTCTCCGACCCTGCGCTTGCCCCGTTTCTGGGTTCGCGCTTCGATGCCGCTGAATACCTCAACGCCACGCTCCCCTCGCTCTCGCTAGCTGCCAGGCCGAAATCGAGCAATGCCGCCTCGCTAGCCGACCTCTCCTCTCAGACCCAAGACCTCCTCTCACAGCTCAATGCACACACGACGCGGTTATCGGCGATATTGACACAATTGACGGATGACATACTGCGGAGCGGCGGGCGCTTGGCTTACGAGGTCGAGGTGCTGCGGGGAGAGGCCATTGGGCTCACCGAGACCTTGACAGATGGGTTAAAGGGCGATGTTCAGAAGTTCCTACCAGGCGGCATGGCGATAAAGACCGAGTCAGCCGATGACGATGCTAAGAGCCCTGCTGGGACACAGGCCGATGCGCCAGATGTGCAACCGTCACAGCCAGCATTGGAGGAGCCTGATGAGACGACCCCAGAGTACATCTCCGACCTGCGCACCCTCACCACAGTCCGTTCGCGCCTGGAGACTGTCATCAAAGTCTTTGGGGAAGCCATGCACTGGTCCATACCACCCTCTGAGGTCTCGCTAGGAGCCTCCCTTATCAGCGTCTCCGCCCCCGAACCCGGCACAGACAGCGCCTCGCGCGAACAGAAGGGCAAAGAGTTCGCTGCTTCCCTGCGCACCGAGATCGCCGACCTCATCACCGGCGACCCAGACGGCGGTATGGAAAAGGCAGAGGTGCGGATACAGGCTTTGAGAGACCTAGCGCAGGTCTGGAAAGGCACAGCAGAAGAGAAGGCGAGGACCAAGTTCGTGGAGGGTCTTGTCAAGTTGGCAGAAGATAAGCAAAGAGAGCTTGATAGAGAGAAGGAGAGGAACAAGGAGCGTGGTCAGCAGAAGCACGCTCGTAGTGGGAGTGTGCCAAAGCCGCAGCAGCAGCCACAACAGCAAAGAGGCGGGTTTCTGGAGAACCTGCAGAGGAGATTTGTGGAATGAAGATCATGCGCTCGTCCAGTGCATATCATTTCCTGAATCTCATCGTCACGTGAAAGCGCGTCAAGTCGTGATGGAAAGCATGATTTCTCATGTTAAGTGTACGCTGCCATTGACTACCGTGCGTATTCATGCTGCAAAGACTTGCCCGCAGTACCATCAGCATTTCCACACCCCCGTCACCAACCCTATTTAATCCTCCTTCTGCATCCTCTCCTCCGTTTTTTGAATAACCCTTTCAGCAATCTTCTCAGTTACCTTATCCACTATCCTCTCCACCATCCTTTCAATGATCCGTGTGATAACCCATTCAACCGTTCTCTCAATCACCCTTGCAAACAGTCTCTCGATTACCCGTTCGACAATTCTATCGACGAAGCCTTCGCTGTCCGATCCACTCGCACGCATGATACCCATGGCGCTGGTCGAAATCACTGAGAAGAGAGGGGATGTATACATACATATATATATATATATATATATATATATATATATGCCGTCGCTATCGGCTACAATGTTGGGAGATAGCGTTGTGCCTGCACCGCGCCTTTCTAGCTCGCAAGATAGACATGCGCTCTCTCATTACGTTTAGGCATCTTCCCTCGATTCGACTGCGCACTACGCTTGTATCTCTCATCTACCTAGGTACGGCGGCCGATCGTTTTTCTCTCGGCTCGAGCCTTCCCATCGCGCCTACTAGCTTCTGCATGCCTCCTCCTCACCCCCCATGAACACCCCTACTACATTAGCAAGAACGTCTTGCTAGAGGAAAGTTTGTTTACATACACTAGTCAAAGCTTCCATGTGGGAGTCAAACCCTTCAAGCCTCCCCGGACGACGTTCAGATACCCAGTCGCCACTCAATGGTCACGCGCCTTCGCGCATCTTTATCTTACTTCTCTCATCGCATTGCTGTCATCTTCGTCGTCGGCGCACTCCTCCACGGCCTTACCATCTTACCTTATCCCTACTCAGATATTCTTCACAAGCGGACCTTCGCTACACAGTAAGCCACCAGCCCCATGCAGCAAGAGACCTCTTTCTCTCATACACTTGTCTTACTACCCTGGTACTGCGGTGACGCGACGCATACGAGCGACTCACAACTTCCGAATTCCATATGTACCCATCCAATCAGATCCTCTCGAAAAAAGAGAAGTATCATCAACACAAGAGCTTGTCTTACCACCCCAGTCCTCGGTCATGCCCTCGAAAACGACCTCAACACCAATCGCCCCGTCACTCGTATGAGCCGGAACGGAAGTTGAGCTGGCGAGCAAGAGCTCTTCCGATACACGTATACGGCCGACATCGACCTGTTGCGCTTCAAAGAGGCTTGGAAGGTTGTCATTGCCAGCGACATCAAAGCTATTGCAATCATACCGTATACCAAAGCACAATCTCAAAGACCAAGCCCAACCTAGGACCAGACCGCAGTCTAAGTCAAAGGCGCACTCTATTCTTTCTGTCATTGCCAGCGAGACCACTTTGCGCGGAGCGTGGCGTGTCGCCGCACCCGTCAGACTCGTCGCGCTACTCGTCGCAACAACAGCAGCAGCAACTCGATCATCGATATCGTACTCCTGTAAGTTGATGCCATCAAATCCCTGTATGCAGCTGGCTAATGTACGACGAAAAAGGTTCCTAGCATCTTTCCGCATTCTTTCGACTATCTTTTCGCCTATCCCTCCAGCCAGCTTTAACTTGTCCTTCAGGTCCTCCTCTTCGCTATCCTGTTGAACAGCACCATGCTCAATCTTTTTCCCGCTACCGCCACCACCACCGACACCGCCGTCATCTACTTCCACACCTGCGCCTGACGACGCCGAGGATACCCAAGATGAGATTCCGTGTGTTGGTCAAGCGGAACACAAGCCTATGTTCCCCAACCGCGCGACAACCAGCTTGACTACTACCTACCCTCCTCTTACGCAATTACCACCACCCCAAGCAATCCGCCCCCATCCGTCGTCGCAGCAGCGGCAACAAGGAAGCCAGTTTACATCTTTGCAGCGACGATTCGACTATTGTGCCATGCAGCACTCAAATCATCTCGGTCCTCCGAACGTCGCTACTAGGCCTAAGCAGACTCGCATCTTCAGCACCAACATACCTAACCATGATTCGGGCCATGATCTTCTCGATGATCGGGCGGAGTAGGTATGTGGAATAATGTACGAGCTCTCTCAAACACTCCAGCTGTCCGCCATAAAAAATAGCTGATATGACCACGCAGCCGTGATGGCTCCTTGGGGTTTTTTCCTAATATTTCTCCAACATTCTTTCGGCATTCTTTCACCATTCTTCCATCATTCTTCCGCTATCCTTCCACTGTGATCTTGGGCAATCGTATTGCTTGCGACATTCTTCTCATTTCGGATACCACTGCTCGTTTCAACGAAGTCGTGGATTTAAATCGCGCATGAGCGACGCCATGGATATTACCCAAACTTCGGAGAGGCTGTACATCGACGACACGATGGAGGGCAGCGAGCTATCGGATATGCCACAGCCGGCACCCGAAGCGCGGCAAGAAGCGCACTTCTTCTCAGAGATTGGATTGGATTGGATTTACTAGTTTGGTATTTTCCTGTTCTATACTGTACGAGATGATGAAGACAATAGACTTTTACATAACTAATCTGCGTTTTGAGAACGTGCAGAGCCAAGGAACAAGTCCTAATTAGATAGACACCTTCTATCTAATTTACATTTATGCGGATATATTTTAGCAACATCCTGTATCTGCTGCATTAGACTATGCAAGTAGAACAAGATTTATTACAAGAATGTCTTGCACGGCAAATTGTACTTAATAGGTTCTTTTCATCGGGCGGAGAGCCGTAGAGATCTAAAGTGTGAGGTTTACACGTTGAGCGTGACACAAAAAGAATCATGTAGGTTACAACACAAAAATAAAATTAAAAGCGGGAGTAAGTAGCTCACTAACACTACCTTTATCCTCTCTTACCCACCCCCCCTTCACTCAAGCCTAAAAAAGGGCAAAAAAAGAAAGATCCGTAAAGGGCTCAACCGGGATTTGACTAACACATGTTAGTGGTTGATACTTCCGTAATTCGAACACACTGGCAACTTACACCCGGGACCTCCTGCATTTAAGAATAGCTTTTCCCAAAGCAGGAATCATGCGACTAGCTGGTAGAGATATTAGTCGGGGGGTTGGGCTTGAACGGGTGAAGTTGGGGACTTACACCATTGAGCCGTTGGATGGGTGGGTTTGATGACTAATCGAAGATTCAGATAATATATAATGACCAATGCAGGTACGGAAGCGCTAGTAGTGTCACGGAATTACTTTGTACAATTTGGATTACTGTGTGGGCGTTAGTTCGAAATTAGTTGTGGGTGGAGACGGTGGAGAGGGGCGGTCAAAACAAGTCTCGTTTACATGCAGTGGTGGCTCAACAAGGTGGACCACTGCAGACTAGTTATTATCGTGCATTCGACAGCATATAATACATCTCTTTGGGGTTTATACTTCACCACAGTATGTAAAGAGAACAAGCTGTGCTGTTGATTTGAAGTTTATTGAAGTCTATGTTCGCTTTTCCGCTTATACAGAGAGCCTGACCCGTGAGCTACGACGGCGGCTATACGCGATTGTATTCGAGACATGTAGAAGCTGATTCGCTTGCTACTCGCTTTTGATGATGGTACAAAGAAAACAATGCTTGAGAGAGCGAACATCAACATCTAATAACGTCCCGTTTATTTCATCTTCGCCTTCTGCCTCTTCTCCTGCAGATACCGTACTGTCTTGGAGAAGCCCGCAGTGAAAGGACCCTTCAGAGTCTGCACGGTTGAAGGCCACTTGACTGTCTGATTGATTGCCTTGGTGACCATCTGCGGGACGTCTTTCTCGCCCGCTATCCGTTTGTCAAAGTCGCCAGCAACCTGCTTCTTCAGGATACCACCGGAAGACTCGTCTTTGTTTGCATCCAGCATCTCCTGGTATTCGCGGCCTGAAATGCCGAATTTGCCGCGGTATTGGAAGTATACCTTCTCACGGAACTTCTTGGGCAACCGCCTGATCATGGTAGCGCGCCTCTCGGGATCCATATCTTGCGACATTTTCTGATCGAGCGTCTGGTCTTCGATCCAACCCCTTGTGTGCACCACGGAATCGTCGGCGTAGAGTATGTTTGGTAATGACAGTATGAGGTCGTGGTAGAGGTATCTGAAGTTCCGTATTTGGTGCGTGACGATGTTATCGATCTTCTTGGGGTTCTCGCTGCCATATTGCATCCGCGGATCGCCCTGATAGCTCAAGCCAGTGATTGTAGAGTATAGTTCCTTCTCGGTGAACGTCTGGGGTAGTAGGAGAAGCGCGCATCGTACGGCTGAGAGGAGGTTACGTTGGTTCGCGACGCGGAGGTTGGGCTCTTCGTGGAGGATCTTGACGGGCTTGTGTAAGCGACCGGCGAAGTAGAGGGTGTCCCAATCGGTGAGGTCGCGGAGGAGGGTTTCGTAGTTGACAACAGCGTACTTGATCATCGTTCCGTTCACTACAACATATGGATTAAAGTAGGCGCCTGCACCATACTTGTCCTGCACATGGCTGACGACGCCTGAGCCGAGCGACCCCAGGAAAGAATAGTGGTCTCGATGCTCGCGCAGATTGAGCGAGTGGAAGTGCTGCGAGAACCGAGGTGTCAGGATAAAGTCTATCATCTTTCCACCGCCCTTCTGCCATTTGAGAATTGCCTCGGGCGCGTTCGGATGCGGTGATTCCGACGGGCGTGAAGCTGTCGCAGCTGACTGAGGGAAGACACCGGAGCCATAGGCAAACGCATAGGTGACCGGTGGAAATTGCCGAAGTATGCCCCTTAACGATCGCTTGAACTCCTCATTCGTCTGTATCAGCTGATTCTTCCCGAAGTCGCGTGGCAGCTGCGTGAAGTCGTCCAGCGAGGGAGGCTCATCTTCCCAGTCTGGGGGCAGCGATTGGAATGCATGTGGCTTGTCGGCGGGTACAGTCTTTTCGGATGAGATGAAGCGGCGATTGACATTAACCAGAGGCCTCCTGCACCACGCTATCCGGAATGCTGGTTGGCGTCGATACATCTTGTACAGAAGTCGATGCCTGAGGTTTCGCAAAGTGAGAGGGTGGATGACGTAAGCGGTTGCTTCCGTAACCAGCTTGGTGGATTTGATGTTGTCTGGTCCCGCCTGCCGCGTAAAGACGCGACTTCCTCTCATCCCACCCATCCCACCACACTCCACACCAGCAACTCTCAATACTGCGTGTAACTCAGGCGCTACTCTTGTCAATTGAATACAAATCACACAGGAACGCCCAAAAAGAAATTCGGCTACCCCCACAACATCCAGCACCATGGACGCCGCGCTGGCTTCATTCCAGGCGCGTCTCGCGACCTTTGGCGGAGCAGCGACGACCACAAAGACGCGACGCACGAGCAGCAGATCGAAAAAGGCAGGCACAAAGTCCAAAGCCGGCTGGCCATTGGCATCACCAGCGGCACAAGATCTCGCGTACGCGGGTTTCGTATGGAGGCCCACTACCGCCAGCCCTGACAACGTACAATGCTTCTCCTGCGAGTGCCAGCTCGACGGCTGGGAAGAATCAGACGTCCCCGCATATGAACACGCGACACATTCGCCGAGCTGCGGCTTTGCAGTCATCGCGTGCATTCGCCTGCGTTCTGGCGATCCAGGCAGAACTGAAGAAGACCCGACCTCCGACGCGATGGTCGCGGCGCGTCGCGACACGTTCGGCGACATGTGGCCTCTAGACCCCAACGCCGGCTACCCCTCAGTCGACCAAATGGTCGCCGCGGGATGGTTCTACGACCCCACAGACGAAACTCCCGATGGTGTCACCTGTGCATACTGTGCTCGCGCACTCGACGCCTGGGACATTGGCGATGATCCGATGCAAGAGCACCGTAAACGCTCTCCCGACTGTCTCTTCTTCACCTTGTCCGATATCTACAACCCGCCCATCCCCGCGCCAAAGAAGGGCAAACGCGCTTCAAAAGCCAAGGGTCGTTCAGCACGCTCGTCTACTGCATCCACCGCGAGCAAGAAGGCCACGCGCGGCAAGAAGAACCTCGATGACACCACGATGGCGATGGAGGACAGTGAACTATCTGAGGTGTCACGACCGGCACCAAAACGCGGCAAGAAGCACGTAGACGACACGATGGAGGGCAGCGAGCTCTCGGAGCTGCCACAACCAGCACCTAAACGTGGCAAGAAACGCACGAGCGACACTATGGACATTACCGAAGTCTCGCAGGTTGTACAACCCGCACCGAAGCGCGGCAAGAAGCGCATGAGCGATGCGATGGAGATCACTGAGATGTCAGAGGTCGCACAACCAGCACCGAAGCGCGTTCGATCATCGAGCATTGAAAGCTTCCCCAGCGACTTGCCGGGCGGAACACCTAAGAAGACTCCGACTCATACCCAAGACCACGTCGCATCAGACTTCGACATGTCCAGCCTGCCAGGCGACCTGATGGTGGGAACACCTAAGAGGACCCCACCTCCTATGAGCGAGGCAGATGACAACAACGGTTGGGAGCCCGCCAATGTGGACATGCTCTTCGCGTCCCAGGGAGAGGCTCAGGGCCTGATGCAAGACATTCTCATCGACGCCGGTCTTGACAATATCGAGGCCGCTGGTTCAACACCCGAACAAATCTTCGACGCTGTCATGGCAAACCTCACAGACCACGAAAAGTCCATGACCATCGAGCAATGGGTTCTTTACAACGCCAAGAGGGGCGAGGAGAAGTTGCGCATGGCCTGCGAAAGGCAGATCATGGCATTCGAGGCTGAGGGCCAACGCGCCATGACGGTCTTGGAAGCCATTCCCACTATTTGATTTCCCCACGCGTTCGGTGAGGGTTGGAGTACTTCGGAGTTCGGTCGCTTATGATACCCCGGCATATGGACAGGCGTTTGGTTTTGTTGGTTTTCGAGGTTGTTTCTGTTGTTGTGTTTTGGGTTTGTGTTTTTCTAGTAGCCGCATCCGCCCTCTTCCCTTTCCCTTGGGCTTAAGGTGAACCTCACAGTTGTAGCCGCCCGCAAGGGCTGGCTCCTGTGGGGGGATCTGGTTAGCCTAGGGACGGGGCTGGGATAGGCGAGGCATTCTTGTTGTGGAGGACGTTTCTATGAGTGATTGGATTCTTTAGTATTGTGTTTCCTTGTTTTGTACTGTATGAGTTATGAAGAAATGGACCTTTACATGACTGATCTGTACTTCGTGGACATTGCGAGTGGTATTACATGCTAATGGAAACGTGTCGCCGCTGGTTTTCATTGCAAAGCGGCAAACCGCCCGCGGGTTATGTCACATGCGCAGAGCCGGTACCCATGGATGTCCTCTTTCGCCAACGTTCCTTCACAACACAGCCATGAATTGGAACGAGAACAATGTATATATTACCTCTTGTGATTACAAAAGCGAAAAACTATCATAATGACTGAAAGGAAGTACGCAAATTCGGCGGTTGAGATCCATGACTTCGTTGAAACGACCAGTGGTGTCCAAAATAACAAAAAGACCGCAAGCAACACAATTGCCCGTACCGTCCATCAGGGCTCCGAAAATCTCCCTGGGACATTTCCGTTGATGCCATGATCACCTGCCAAAGCATTTTGTCATGATCAACTAGCGTAACACTCACTGCTCAGTTAGCACGATACTTTGTCTGCAGGATGTTGCTGAAATATTTCCGCATGAACGTAGTTAGATAGAAGGTATCTTTTTAATGTCTTCTTGATACCTTGCTTTGCATTCTTTCCTGACAAGGAGTACCTTGACTCAAAGTAATACCTACGCTATGTTGCATGAACACTGCTGATCAAGAGCATACATCACTGACTCTTCCACTCTTCAGCAGCACGATCTTGAAGAAAGTTCAATCACATTCAAAAAGACCAAATAAAGGTATCTCAACATCCCCAAAACTCCATCTCCACCTACCCAAAGAGTAAGAACCAGGTATCATAACATTCATATTCGCTTCCAACCCAAAACGCCAGCCCCAACCAACCAACCAAAAGCCACATCATCTTCTCCCAACCGGCCATTCAACCTCCAACCCCAAACTCCGATCAATAACCCTCCCCTCCCTCTCATCCCTCCTAACACTCTCCCCCATAACAACAGTCGCGCACCGCCTAAGCACCTCCCGTCCCGTAATCTTCTCGCCAACCCTCCCCGGCGCACAATCCCCCACCTGCAACCTCCTCCCCGTAGTTAAAAAATACTGCTCTTCATTCTCCAACGTAAGCAACTGCATAAACACACTGCACATAACAACCAACTCCTCCGTCATCTCCATTTGGTAGCCCCAAGCATGGAATATCGCGCCGACGTATGGCAGGTTTCCGTTCTGGGAGAGGAATTGGCGGAGGAGGGTGTGGTTTGTGGCTGAGAGACGGGTTGGGGGGATGGTGGAGGGGCAGAAGAGGGCGGGGTGTTTGAGGTGCGTTGTGTAGAGTTTGTCGAGGGCTTTGTAGTGGGTGCGGGTCCAGGGTTCGATTTTGGGGAGGGGGTGGAGGTGGGAGAGGATTGGGTGGGGGGATGGCGGTGGTGGTGGGGGGCGTGTGAGGGTGGATTTGACGCGGTCGAGGAGATGCGGTTGCTGGGGTGGAGATGTGGCGGGCTGGCTGCTGGGTTCTGGGCTGGCTTGCGACTCCGAGCTGATGGAACTTTCGATTGACTCGTCGACAACCTGGGGACCTTTGTAACGCGCGGGCGATTGTTGCGGGGATGATGCGGGGACCTCTTCGGATTGCTGCGAGGCTTGCGAGAGCGGCGAAGGCTTGCGGGCAGATAACAAGTTCTGCTGGAACCGTTGCTGCATCTTTGGCGGACTTGATGGAAGACGACTGCGCTCTTGATGCAGAACTCTGCTGGGCTCCTCAGTGACCTCAGTAAGGTCGTTCAAAGTCCGCTCTTGCGGCTCGTAGGCATCCAGATATTCATTCGCTTCCTCGCGCACGCGGACTATCGTAGAAGCTGTGTTACCCTCCATCTCTACACGGAACTGTCGTTGATCGGATGCTGCAGAGATTTTGCTATCGCCATCAACAATGGTATGGAACGGAGAGCTTTGCGCGATTGGCAGCGTAGACTCTTCAAACTGCACCGAGCTTGTTGAGATGTCGGCGCTTTGAAGTTCTCGCCTCAAAGGACTGCTCTTCTTTGGTGAACTCATAAGCGCAGGGAAGCGAGGTGGTGTGTCAATGAACGGGTTTGTCTTTGTTGTCGGGGATGGCTTCTTTGTTGCCATGGGCGGCGGCGAGGACTCGGGAACGAAGCTTTCACCTTGGTCTAGAAGTTCAGACAGGCTCACTTTCTCCTTCTCTTGTCTTCGTTGCCGCCGTTGTTCGAAACGGGATGGTCGCTTTTGATTAAAGACGTTGGGCATATTCGACTGGAAGAACATGCCGGTGTCGTCACTGGCTTCGCTCGCCGGACTCGACTCATCGTCAATCTGAATCGGCTTGTCTTCTTCCAGTGGGGTTACGACATCCTCATCCTGCTCTTCCTGTTCCTCTTCGTCTTCGTTTTCGTCGTCTTCGGGTTGTTCTGTGACTGCAGGTTCCGCCTGGACAGGGCTCGGTTCTAGCTGTAACTCAACTTTCTTGTTGTAAAGAGCTTCATTCGCCTTTCTACGACGCCAAGTCCTTGCAGCCGATTTGGTAGGAATGTCCTCTGTGAAGACATCGCGGAACAATTTCTCTTCCTCCACAGGGGCTTCCTCCTCCTCAACTGAGACCACCGAACGACTAGCCTCTTCTTGCCAGATGTCAGCGAAGTCATCCCATTGGGCAGGTTTGTCTGCCTGTTCTGCAGCATGATCCTGTCGGGGTTCTTCCATCTCATAATCTCGTTGTGCCAAGCCAGTTCGTTTCGCAGGGGGTGTGTCAGCCCGCCAACTCATCTCTCCCTCGCTCCTTGCAGGGCTCACAGGTACACTCTCTTCTTCGACATCCAACACCGGGTATTGCACCTCGTCCGCTGTGGCGGTTGGCTCCACTGGTGAGACGGCATGATCCTGGTCTTCGGGAGTAAGAAGACGTGA